CAAATTCAAGAGGATGAAGCTGAAGAACAGGACGAGGAAGAGGAAGAAGTGGAGGAGCTGGAGGATGAGAATGATCTCGACTGGGCAGCGCCAAAGAAACAGAGTACACCCCGAGAAAGACGCCGTTCACCAGCCAAAGAAGTCGTCGAGATCGAAGACGACGAGTCAGATGAGGAAACAGTTGTGGATCCAGGTGGTGATGAGTTCATGCCGAACGACAGTCCAGAGCCCGTACAGCTAAACGGTCAATCTGGACCTGATCACGGAACATCAACGCCCAACTCTGTATCAGCAGCCTCAACTCGCCCGCGGCGCAGTATTCAACAGCCATCTCGACTGGTTTCAGATTTACCCAGGAGTTCTGTTCAACAAAGCATTGGCTCCGCAGAGTACACATCCGCGACTCTCGCTGTTAGGAGTCCACCGGGTTCACAGCAACAAACACCAAGTTCTCAAGTACCGGTGCCCAAACCTGCAACTTCCCAGGGCGATATGCGCCCTCCTCAACAACCTACACCAACTGCCTCTCCAGCAAACACAATCCAGAACTTTGTGAAACCTCGCCCACAATCACATACAGCAGTGCCTCTTCCTCCGATCCCTGGTACTAAAAGTGTATCACAACTCCAACGATCCAACAGTCAGCCATCGGCTTCAACCTCCGCTTCAAATTCTCAGGGCTCCGCAACTCCCCGCACACAAGCAAGCTCTCAGCCATTGGCGTCACCCCGCACCAGTGCTACCTCTCTGACTCCTCAGCAACAATCGGGCAACTGGTCATCGGCATCTAATCCAGTGGCTCCTCAAGGTGCTTACAACCAATTGGCGAGCAGTCAGCAATCGACGCCTCATCACCTGGCTCCATCTCGGGGCAATAAGCGCCCGGCTGAATCATCACCAACAACATCATATGCGAGTAATACTACATCGAACACTTCACGATCTGGAGCAAAGAGGCAAAGGTCATCTAATGCTGTACCGCATCGTCAGTCTCAAGTGTCTAGAGCAATCAATTGGGACGCAGTTTTGGTAAGAACCCTGCCTTTTGATTTTTCTCAATCTAACCATTTGCAGCCGTCTGGAGATGAATTCAAGGAAAACTTGAAACATGCTTCCGATGCCATAAAGCCAGTTCTGCGCAAGTTCGAAGAGCTATTGGCCGACATCAACGACGAGCAACGTAAGCTATCTACCGTTCAGAGCAGCCTTTTCCAGAAAAAGAATGATTACACAAACGACCAAAAGAAAGCCCAGGACGCTCTGAAAGACGTTGAGAATTCCACAGCCAACGAAAACACAACGCTAAGAGGTCTTGAGGAAGTTTACCAGCAGAACCCCGGGGATGCTGAGCTGCGCACCTTCATTAACAAGCGGAAGCAGACTATTCTCGAGCACAAGGAGGTATATGTTATTGTCAAAAGCCAGCTCGACAAGACCATCGCTGGAATATACAAGACCGATCATGAGATTGCGCTTGTTACTAAGAGGCTTGGGCAGCTTGACGCTGAAAGAGCGGATGTTCTGAGAGAGAAGGAGGGTGTTGACAAGGCGGCGAAGCGAGTGACGATCATGTCGAAGTTCATGGAGCCTTCATGGCAGGCTACGTTAGACATGCTTCTGCAGTCTGTGGGCCCTGAGGTTCTGGAGAAGGCTTTCTAAGAGGGATATTCATTGTTATAATTATATTTCGAAAGTTTAATATCTAAGGAAAAGGCTTTATCAAGCAGGGCGTTTCTCGGAGGGAATACCTTGTATGTTTATAGTGTAGTCTAATCAGAATGCTTCAAACTTCTATAGCCGCTAGGGACCACACTGTTGTCAAGCTGGACATGTACAAGATGAGAGAAACTATTCCAAAATATGGAAGCTACTCAATCGGACGTTGATGGCAGTGTAGTCATGAGTCTGGTGGCTGTTCTGGTTGTTGTTGTGCATGTTGAGGAACTCTTTCCAAGAATCCTACGGAATCCAGTGATGCCTTTCCAGAACTATACTAAAGCGAGGGGGTATTTGTATATTGCTTTCTAATGTATTCATCACTCAAACAAGACGCAAATTGTAGAGAACTTGGTTCATACTCTAGATAGACTCTCCTTCTTTGACATGGCCGTGCGAAACGTAATGTGACGCTTCACCGCACATCGGGCACCCATGGTAAACCCAGGGCTGACAACAGGCGATAAAGGATCACCAATTGCTCTAATCACGAAGAACTAACTCAAGTATCTATTTCCATCTCGATTCAAAGACGGGGCAGACCAAGGGTGAAACTTAATTATCATGCTCTTTTAGCGGAGAGCCCCAACGTTCGCTGGACCTTCAGGAAGTACATATCACCTATGGCGAGCCTAAGTGCCGCCCTGCCAGTGTTAAGACGAGCACTGAAATACGTTGACTGAAAAGCTTGTGTAAGAATATTATTCTCGAGATGAGCCATGATTGACACAAGTCATTTCGAGGATCTATACATCTAAGTGCGACAATACATTCTTGGTCCATTTGCAGACTCTGGTACAGTTGAGGCTGGAAAACACGTTCTCTCAACACATTGATTGACTGTACGTTAATTCCATAGGCTCCCCTAAGATGAAGCCGTTTCTACTATAAAAGCAACTTCAACTTTAGTTGTTTCCCCAAATGGCCGATCCTGCGAACTCATGGAGGGAACCAAGAAGTTGTCCTCGTTTCAGTTTGTTGAAAGTCCGAGTCACTTTAGTGATTTTTGCATGTATTTTGACCTTCGGTGCGTCACTCGTAAGTCACAAGACCTTTACAGGTATTGCATGTTGCAAATCTTCCATGTTTACACTGCGATGTCGCCGTCATGTCCTCATCGTCTATGATAGCACCATATATTTTATCTTAAGAAGCAATTATCCGCTTAGCTGCAGAACGCCAAAGTGATGAGTGTGTATCTAAGTTCATCTCATATTCTTGTCAAATCTCTTGAGAAGACCTAAGTTCCCTCTGCTGATACAAGCTCTTAGATATGAACAAACTTACTTGTGAGGCTTCAAGCACCAATTCTTCACCGTAAAGTAGAGTAGATAAGCGCTGGAGTCAAAGACAGACTCTTCCTTTCCTAAGCCAGTGCAACATCCTTAAGGCATTCGAGCTCACATCGTTGATAACTAGGACGTCGAGATTATCGCTGGTGAAATATGCATCAAGGGGAGAGTTGTCTAGATAAGTGCCACCATCGGTCGTGATAAGGATATTTGAGCTGCCATTGAGGTTGCGTTTGATGCTTTTGGCGATCGTGCACTGCCAGAAAGTCAAGGTTAGTGGGGTCTCCTCTACTGTAGGAGGGTTATTCGAGTGCATTACGCTGCCCGGGGAACAAAAATATGCGTAGCTGCGGATGCATAGCTTCATTCTGGGTCTGAAAGGCGAAGATGTAGTCAGAGCTCTGGGCAAAGGTTTTGCCCATCTTGAGATGTTTATGCGTAGGATCGTGAGCGATGCGGTTTCTAAACTGTATTATAGCTTTAAGGTTCTTGTAAAAGTCGCCACCATTTCCTGTAGAGATTACTGTTGTTCTTAAGATCATTTGTGAGTGTGAATGGAGATTAGATGTTTGATACCATGATCATTAGCCTTATCCCTAGAGGTATCTATTCGGCTCAGCACGGCGTCATGCCACTCATCCATACTAGTGTACTGCAAGCAATGAAACCGTTGATGAATGTTCCCTTTGTACCTTTGGATAGACCTCCAAACATGATCAGTTATCGTCCTGGCGGTCACGCTGTGCAGTGTGTAGAGGGTGACAGTGTCCTACCATTAAGCCACACAGGATTAACCCAAGACCTAGCTGGCGATTCAATCTTGATCTCAGTGCAGCTCTCGCTTCTTCAGGCTGGCACATTAAGTATACCTTCTACGCCTCCATTGGCAATTATACTGTCGGCGTTTTACGGCAAAGGCCTAAAAAGACAAATTTCCTTACGGCGGGGTGCACCAGCCCTCAACAGTTCAGTGGATTTCAGGGCCTCAGCTGCAAAACATCCACTGAGTTAAGGCCCTATCTGCCTATACGCCCCAGTGGAGCTTTCAAGCCTTTACAAACGATGGTCTGCCCAAATGGCGGAATAATAATTCAGGAAATACCAAGAAAACCTGGAAGAGAAGTACAATTTCTGTTGGCGATCATTGAGCGGGAATGAGCAATTGCGTTTAGTAGACTTCCCGCCGATATTCACGTATTTTTCCTTGGTGAACTCACCTTAGCCTTTTATCACCATTGTTCTCCTGTAACCTGGCCATCGCAATTATTACATTTGACATGCCGTCCTTCATCATCGGCTACTTCAAGCGAGGCCACCACTACCGTCGTAAGTAACGCTGTACCGGTGACTGCGGTTATTACTTCTGTTCAAGATACGACCGAGACTACTGCCGCGACATCCGCTGAGTTTGATGCGTTCACATGTGCCCGAGACTTCAGCGGCTATTGAGTCTGACACTGTAACGTATCGATCTCGACGGCCTATATGTCACCTATGACGAATCCGAATATGAGCTCTGTTATAACTGGATATTTGATGGTTTCGAAGATGTCGCGCACCAACAAGATAGCACAATGGAGAAGTGCTTGTATTTAACTCTCTGATTGTGACTATGCCCAGATCGAGATAGAGAATACTATATATTTGCTGATTGCAAAGGGTTTCGACTATCCCAGTAATAAGCCTGGGCTTGTTGTTGCCTCTAGAGACAGCCCGAATTCATCCAAGGCGTCGTGAACTAGCAAGATATCGTTCTGCCGACATCTTTGTTCCGTGGCAAGCGTTGGTTCAGCATCTTAGCTCATTTGGTTGGGCTTTCATTTATGTTACATACTTCTGAGTATGCGATTTGCCAGTTAGTACAAGTTGTCACGGGGGTCAGTTATTACTAGAGTCCCAGTAGTACTACTTCAAGTCAAATTGCGACTGATTTTCATACAAGTTATATTGTTGTGGTGGTGATTGATATTTACAAGAGTTCCACTGGTCAAATCAATACTGCGATGCCTCTCTTTCTATCAAAACAGCATCATCGAGATAGAAAGTGACAGAGGCGCAGACAATGGCTACAGAAACGGAGGCTCCAGCATCAAGCTGAGCTTCATTCCAAGTGCAGCTAGTTACTCCCCTAGCCCATGTATTCAAAGGCCCCCCGAACTCCGCCGATCCAGCTGAGGTTGATCCTGCACTGCATCCCAAGCGCGGGATACCACAACTACTAGACGCTGTGGTCTTTAGAGAAATTGAAAAGCGATACTCTTTTCCGGCGATGATCTTGGAAGTGTCAATATCTTGCTTGACATACCAACTATACGGCTGGATAAGTCTGCGCCTGAGTCCTCCTGAAGGCGAAATTGAAGAATCGAAAACACCACACTGTAGTGATCCTGGGCGAGACGTGTCGCTGCGGACGGATAGCCACCCTCGTTCTCCTATTTTTTTCGTCTCCCAGGGAGCGAAGGTAAGGTCTTCAAAGCCGGGGTTGCGAATTAAGTTGGTGGGCTGTCGCTCAATAGTTGTTATAGTGGTAGATGTTTCGTCAGTCGATGTCTCAGTCGAAGTTGCGACTGAGTTTGTAGAGACCAAAGGCTCAAATGTCGTGGAGCTTTGGGCGATAGTTGTTGTTTCAGAAGAGGCTACGGTCGATGATTCTGCCTCTCTAACCGAAGCTGATGATGGCACGGCTGTCGATGTGACAGACTCAGTCTCCGTGATGGAAGACAAGGCTGTAAATATGGCAGAATTCGTTGTTATTGAGGTTGTCGACGGTATGTCTACACTAATCGTTCCAGTCTCAGCAGAGCTGAGGGTACTGAGAGATGCAAATGGATGGGAAATGTGAGATGAAGGCTTGCATGGTGAAGCTAAAGTCAACCTGTACAGCGCCAGAAGCTGAAAAAATGGGTACGTGAGTCTCATAACCACGATTTTGATGTCCTGGCGGGACTATGATGATACCAGAGAAAACACAGAACAGAACAGAACGTACGGAGTAGCCAGGGAATAATAACCGGGAATCGGGTGCAATTAAGCATAGAAGCGCACGCTAAATTAGCTTGAACAACGAATCAGTTCCTTCTTAAAGGTTAAGTCTGCAGGCCAAATTTTCTCTTCTTGGCTGTTGGTAGCAGCTCATCATCTATTGTAAAACTATTGAATGTGGCGTTGCTGACTGGAACCTCGGACCAACATGCACCCCTGCTCTGTATGCAAGTGAAGAGCTAATATTGATGCGTCTCCACCGCGATGAGCAGATACAAAAGATAATTGCTCAGCGGTCTGCAGACGAACATCTAGTATTGATAAAGTGCTTGGTTTAGTGAAAATATAACCAAAACCATGGCATTAACTACTCCAAGTAACAGTTTAAACTAATCCGATGCATCAGTTGCGACCAAAGAAGCATCGTCAGCCAGAAAAGTGAGACCATTGCACACTCCCGCGACCTGGACGCTCGGTCCAGCATCTAGTTGAGCCTGACTCCACGAGCAAGTAACCGTTGTCAGTACCCAACCATTGGCCTGCATTGCACCCCAATTCGCCGAGTTTACCCAACCTGTTCCTGCACCGCATGCAATAGTTTGTGAGATGCAAAAGTTGGAGGCTGTGACTTTCGTGTATACAGAAAAGCGATACTCTTTATCAACCACGATCAAAGATGGGCCAAGTTCTTGTCTGATACCCATGTTGCTGAGGTTTTCTCCAGAGGCGCTGAATTGTCCAGCTTGCGTTGATGGGGGAATACCCGAATCGCTGTCTATACTCAAAGTTCCGATGTTGTTGTATACGGTCCAAGGCGCGACGGTTGAGTCTTCAAAGCCTGGGTTACTGATCAGATTCGTAGGTCCCGATGCGGCAGTGGTGGTCGTCGTGGGCTCAACCTCAGCGCTTGAGGTCGCGACCGAAGTAGCGATGGTAGATGAGTCGGACAATGTCTCATACTCGGTAGTGGCTGTAGTTTCATACGTAAAGGCCGTCGATGACTCTGTCTCGCTGGTCTCAGTGGTACTTGCTGACGCCGTCGAAATGGCAATTGAAGAAGAAGGCTTGCATGGCGATGCTAACGTGATGTGGCAAAGGGCCAAAAGCTGAAGAACTGAAGATGTAAATTGCATGATAACGATAATGACAGTATGGGTATTGCGAAAAGAGAAAACCGGGCGTCGAGATCCTCTTCGTAATGGGGAAACATGGCAATTAAGCCAATCCCCTGGAACTCAAAATCGACCTAACAATGCGCCGTTTCTCTCTGACAGCTTCGATTCATGCCCTGCACAGAATCCCTCCTTTTCTTGGTCGTGAAAACAGTGTAGGTCGGTCTTGGTTCTGCCAAACTATTGAATGTGGCGTCGCTGGAACCAACAATCTCCCCTGCATTCTGGAGATTAGTGGGGTTGTGGAAATGAGATACATGGTTATCCATCAAGCTTGCCTGTACATAATTTTATCGATTAGTATTTACGGTTTGCCTTATCTTTTATATACAGATGTCTATTATTAGAATCTCACTGACAAACCGTTGTATACGGCACTAAAAAAATCGATATTATCATATCTCACGGGTCTTTTTTATTTCGTGAATTGAACTTGGGCTGTCTGCAGCTATAGCAAATAGAAATGGACATCAAACCAACATAGATAAAGCTCTCCCATGAAAGAATCACCACTGCTCACTCCTTTAATTTCGTAAACTTGATCAGACATTTAGATTCCTGTTGCTAGTCAGTCACACGTTGTATCAATAAGAAGAGAAGAAAACTAACCTGAACCTTTGGAAATCGATCATCGTAGAATGTCTCGACGCGAGCTGTGATAGCAGGCGTAGTATCCTCAAACCCTGGAGCTATCGTCGTTCTGAATTGTCGGTACATGGTAGCTGTGAGTGTTGTCATCTCAGCCATAGCAAGACTATTTTGTGTTAGTAATTGAGATTCACCGAACTTGAATGAAGGGAAGCAACTTACTGCATGCCAACGCACATTCGCCCTCCACTTGAGAATCCCCAGAACCATCGGTTTAGCTCCGCTGCATCAGGTCCAACCCATCGATCAGGATTAAAGACCAAGGGATCCTTGAAAACCGACTCGTTGCGATGCATGATCCAGGGCGACATGCCGACAACAGTGTTGCCAGGAATGGTATATCCATCAATAACCGAATCAATATCTATTGAACGAGGTTCAGTGCTTGGCAAAGGAGCATAGAGTCGTAGAGTCTCCTTGATAACAGCGTTGATATATGTGCATCGATCACTTGCTTCGGCTCTTGGATTACCCCATTGGTTCAATCCATCACCTGAGATGGCCATGACTTCTTCTCGCAGCTTTTCCTGGTACTTCTCGTTGCCTGGGAGTGAGAGCGCCCAAACAAGGAACATCAGTGTGTCGCTAGTGGTGTCGATGCCAGCAAGGAAATGGTCAGCGCATTCGGATGCCATCTGCAAATCGCGGAGTCCACCTGGTTTCTGAGATTCATGATGTTGCCAGAGATTTTCCACGATCGAAACATGCTCATCTGCCATATTTGTCAGCTGTATTCACAAAGCAGTCGCAAATCCCACTTACCCTCTGAATGAGTGATCTTCTCTACATCAGCTCGGAAAGCCTCAAAGGCCCGCAGAGCATACCCTCGGATCCCGGTGTACGTAGTAGGCTGCTGCATCGGAAGAACAGGCTTGACGAGTTGTCCCATCAGTCCTGTTTGGCGATACAGCCATTGAGTCAAAGTCTTCAGATGCACGATGGACCAAGAAAGCTTTCGACGAGAGGGATGCAGAATATCCGCGATGAGTTCCCGATGAATCTTTGAGCCTCGAATCGCTGCAGTCTGGCCATACTTTCCGTAAACAAAGGCGGTGATGTTGTCCAGCGAGTAATAATGCAGAGTGCTGAAAATCTCACTGACGTTCTCAGGCTCGGCTTCAATCAGGTCCAGGTATTGACGAACTCTCCTCTCAACCATCTTCGCGGTCGGCGGCTTGAGAACAACGGATTTGGAATAGGCGTGCGACAAAAGCTTCTTTCTATCGCCATGTTCCTTGGGTGAGTGGAACGTGAATAGATTCTGCTCGCCATAGACATCAAACATGCGATAGAAAGTGGTTCGGCCATATCGGCTTCCGGGCCCGTAGATGGTTCGCAGTGCTGAGAGGCTGTTGAAAGAGACCTCATGAGGACCGATGCGCACAACTGGTCCGTATTGTTGGTGCAGTTTAAAAATGGTGCGAGTCCGCGTTCCCTTCCAGTCTTCGTAGGCGAGACGCCATTTTGTCGCGGCGAATGATTTGGGGCCTGGGACGTGTCGAAGAGGACTGAGGATGAGGGGATCGAGAAAGATGTGCTTGACGAAGAGCACGACAGCGAGTACAGCTGCCGCAATTGGGAGGATGGCCATCTTGGGAACCAATTCAGCTGTAGAAACAAATGAAGTCGTTGTCAAGCCAAGCAAATGATACACGTGAGATATCAAGGTTCTTTAAGCATCACGCAACTGGTCAATCAAACCCTTGTTGGACCGTCAAATCGGTAGTTCCCCGCACACGATACAACTTGTTGCGCCAGGGCGTAGACTTCAGAGCAAGGGCGCGCCTTTTTCTACCTGCAAACGGATCATCTGAGCGACCGGCAGATAAAGACCGCAGTGGATCTGATACACAGCTTGGCACAGAACTCAGTGTTTATCAGGGCGGAGAAAGGTCATGATTTCCGGTGCGCGGAGGCCTTGGACCGACGGGGCTCGGCAATTGACGCCGTGTGTTCTCGGGGGGCTAGGCTTGATGCAGGTCATGTAAATTGGAGAAGACACTCACTGAACCAATTAGACACGGGGCATTCCCAAGATTGACTTATCTGATAAGGGCTTCATGATGTGCCCCGCCAAGGGATGTCCGATGTGATCATAGTCGGGCAAACATAGAGACACATCACCAGGGTAAACGAATTGCCCCCACAAGTGAGTGCCAGTCATTCAGGTTCGAATATCCATACAGACTCGAAACTGGTTCAAGCAACGTGAATCATCTACAGGATAGAGACTACTTAATGTAACCGAAAACCTCACTTGCTAGATGAGAAAAATGCAAGTCGCGGTGTTCTTGTACCCTTATTGAGGAGTGTATATGCTATTGAGAATGAGACACGAAAATAGAACCTAAAACTGCCGGTCAGATCAAGGCCGCCGCACTATAAGAGCCATTGTACTTTAGAGGCTCATGCTGATGCTTCTTCGCTCCTCTCAGCATCTTGCGAACAGCCCCGGCGGTGTACATCAAGAATGTTACGAGACCAACCACGCCATAGCCAATAATAAGCTTCATGGATGCACCAGCAAGCTGCAGACCGAGCCCGCCGTTGACAATTCCAAGGATCATTAGAGCTCTCCCGTACCAGATGTGAGCGTGGCTGATGCCTGTCCGACGCTGATGCTTGACGAAGTTCCTGTGATGTAGCCCTCCCAAGATTGGCTGGATAATCATCAAACCGCAGACTACTGTGCCGATGATTACATGCGGGGCGTTGAACCACTGATCACAGTTAGTGGATGCTTCCAGATGACAGGTTTGGCTACTTACATTACTGGTACGGTCGGCAGCCAACTTGCCAGTAACAAACCCAGCCCACATGCCCATAAAGACGATCATCTGCCACGTAGCATGGATGAACCACTTTCCGATTATAGGCATCAACAGCGATCCCAGCGGGTAGCCCAATAGGAAGACCACCGACATGATGATACCGTGAATGGTGCTGGTATTGCCGTCTCCCCCACCGCCAGACGCTGCACCATTCGGTGTAGCAGTTGTCATTTGAAGGAAAGGGTTGCTGTTAGAGTTCATAATAGCTTCGGAGAAGTCAACTGAGAAGCTGTTGTGTCCATCATGTTCTTCGATATCAGCATCAATGTCAGTCGTGTGCAAAGAA